TTTACATTTTTAATTAATTCAAAAGTTCAAAAGGGCTTTATTGTCACTTCAACCACATACAGCTGTTCAGTACACAGCAAAATGAGACAGCGTTTCCCAGATCCAGAGCTGAGGTGCTGCATGCACCAACAACAATGAACATTTAACAAGCCGTATGCAGAGCGACATGCGGAGACCCCGGATGACACGTTGTAAACACTGGACACACAGCGCAAACGTCAGACATGTAGTGCAAAGAATGCAGAGCAGAAAAAGATAAGATGAAATAAAACTATGGGAACAGGTAGTGCAAAAGTACAATTTGAACATGGACAATCCAACACAACATGGACAATAACAACACCATGGAGGTACTGTGTGTGTGTGTTTGTTTTGTTTGTGTGTTAGTCCAGTCCTTGAATGTTGTTCAGTCTTATGGCTTGAAGGATGAAGCTGTTGCACAATCAGGCCCGCATGCTTCTGAACCTCTTGCCAGACGGCACGAGTGTAAAGAGGTTGTGTGAAGGGTGTGTGAGGTCCTTCACAATGCTGGTGGCTTTTCGGGTGCAGCGTGTGGTGTAAATGTCCTTGATGGAGGAAAGAGACATGCCAATGATTTTGTTCTGCTGTTCTCACGACCCTCTGGAGGATCTTTCCGTCCGAGGCAGTTTCCAAACCAGGTAGTGATGCAATGATGCTCTCAATAGTCCCTCTGTAAAATATTGTCAGTATGGAGGGTTGGAGGTGGGCTTCTCTCAGCCTCTGCAAGAAGTAGCTGGGCTTTCTTTGCTATGGAGCTGGGGTTGAGGGACCAAGTGAGGGACTCCGCCAGGTGGACACCAAGGAATCTGGTGCTCTGAACGATCTCCACAGTGGAGCCATCGCTGGTCAGTGGAGCATGCTCCCCTTGTCCACTCCTGAAGTCCACAACCATCTCTTTAGTCTTGTCCACATTCAGAGACAGACTGATATCACATTGTAGAAATTTGTTTTTACTTTGACAAGAAAGAGTTTTTTATTTTGTGCATTCTTGTCAATAAAAAAGTCAAATTAAATTAACCACGCTTAAAAATTAAAAGGTAATGAAAAGTGAAAACATTCCAAGAGGGGTGATTTTTTTTGTTTGTTTTTTGTCACTGTAGTTTAGTTTGACTTGAGTGTTTCCATGTTCTGCAGCTTCAGACTTCTACTACACTGTTTCACAAAGGCAAATACTGTCCTGCATATACGTTACTATACAGTTTCCATACCTTTTATTTCCTTTCCAGCGAAAACCGTCAAATGCGCTGATTTTGAATGTTTGTGGTAAACTGAAGGACTAAGTGTTCCTTTATGGGCTTGAGAAAATTCTCCTCCTGCTTAAGCTAAATAAACGACTTAAACCCTCTTGGATTAGCTGGAAAATGCACAAATGTCACAAAGCTGAAAACAGGGATGTTTCTCTGAGCTCATGAAGAGCTGACTTTTTAGAGATGTGGCTTTCAAAGGTCAGCAACTCTGCAAACATATGATGAATATAAATATAGATAATATGATGCATTGCTGTAGATTAAACTAGTGTAAAAAGAAGGTGAAGCAAGCAGAACTTTAAACATCTGGAGCTCTAAAATGCAACATCTGTAGCACTGATATTAATCAGAAAGCATCTTAGGTAACAGTAAAATACTGACAGGGAGCATTTTACTGATGCTTTATTAAAATTTGACTGAAATACTTTCATGTGTTGACTTAAGCAACATTTAGAATGCTTAGTTTTTACTTGTAGTGGAGTATTTTTCTAGTTCTCATCTGTTCAGTTACTTTTGAAACCATATATCTGTAATCCTCTGTTTTAAAAGTCTCCCGCAATATTTTTGTATGCTGATGTAAACCTACCACCTGACAATTTATCAATTATTTATCTTACCAGTTATATATACATATATAGCTATATTAAAACATTAAGACATATAATCTATATTAAGACATTTTAAAATAATTTCAGCACATCCTAATAAATATGTCATTATTATTTACTGAAAGTTTAATAGAGCAACATTTGCAGTTTCACAAAGAACTGGCTAAAGCAACAGAAACTTGCACCTGACTTCTACACCATCACTGAAGTCAATTACTTCTTGTCAGCTTCAAAATAAAAGCTTTTTTTAAAAAACCTGTTTACAGCAATAACGAGTTGATATCATTTAAAGGTTTCTCTTAAAACAAACAAACACATACGCCCCATCAGGTATGTAAGTAACAGATTTGGAAATATAATTTATTAGTTAAACTATTTTAACTAAATAACAGGAATTGCATTATTTCATCAGCTTAAAACAACACAGCAATCGTCATACAGGCTATGTGTTTTGTGAAGCAGACAAAATTACATGCTTGTTTAACTGAGCCAAAATGAAGTGATGCAAATATTGCAGGCAATTTCAACAGCGACAATACCTACATTTAAACAAGTAAAACATAAGCTTAAAGAAGAAAAGATAAAAGTGGAACAAAACGCTGATAAACTGAAATGTTTCAGATCTTTAAACTGATCTCACAGATAGAAAACTCTCTCTCCCTCTAAATCTGCTAAAAAACAAAAACAATGAAAAAAAATAACGATGAACTTCACAGTGTTAATTATCTCTGTGGTGTGGGATCAATTTGTTAGATGAAATAATATCAAATGGATGTTTTTTGTGGGAAAAAAGTAGCTGTCAAATTAAGGAGATGAAATGAAAGAATAATATTGGGTTTCAGCCAGCATCTTTAAAACTGAGGATGCTAATCAGTGTAGAAATCCTTTCCCATAATTACAATCAGCAAAATGATAAGGCTGATAAACATCATAGACATGTCCAGAAAGTGTCAAAAAACAAAATATTCATGCAACACAGTTATTTAGGAGCTCTTGTTAAAATGTAAAAAAATAATCTTCTTTTTTTGTCTTGGTGTGACAAATGGCACATGTTGAGTCTCTAATAGTCCACTAGAGTCCTCTAGTGGACTGTTTTTTGAGTTAAATTTCAGACAGCAAGTCCACCTACATCTTATTTGACAGGTGTTGGGCCTGTTTGTCTTTTGCCCTTTGTGCATGTGATGACTCTTCAAAAGCAAAATCTCTTCAAATATCTGACATTTAGAAAAAAAAAAAGTCAGGTTTTATAATTACATTCATTTTATTCCTAAATGCAGAACAACAATCAGGCAAGTGACCATTCAAAATACATTGAGTGCAACATATATATATATATAACTGTACAACTGTAAAGACAACAGGTAGTGGATGCAAATTAAAAATGAACACTCATATAAATTAAATAAAGTGCTACTTTGAGGCGCCGCTGTAGCTCATCTGGTTGAGCTGGCGTCCCATGTGCAGGGCTACAGTCCCCATGTGGAGGTCATGAGCTCCAATCCTGCTCATGGCCCTTTCCCCCATTCTTCTCCCCCACTTTCATGTCTCTCTCTCACTGCGCTATCGAATAAAGGCACAAGAAAAGAAAAAGTGCTACTTTACTCTAATTTTAAAAGTAAACACATGATAAATTTTGTTCCGAATTTTCGTCAGTTTGAAGCCATAAATGAGAGGATTTATAAGGGGTGGTACGACGAGAAACTCTATCGCTATGAAGTTTCGAATCATTTGAGGGAAATCTTTTGAAGAGAGTCGCAAAGTCATGACGTCGACAAGTATAGTGACCAGAAAAGTGAGCAAGGAGACTAAATGTGGCACACATGTTTGCATGAACTTTGCTCTGTTTTCTAAAGAACTCATGCATGTTTTAATGAGATACAGGTAGGACCAGACTATTAAAAGACCATGAAACACGTAAATGATGATCGTGATGTTTGCAACTATGCCATTAGTCTTTGTTTCTGCTGGAAAACACGCAAGCTGAACAATGCTCCAGTTCACACAAAACAGTCTGGCAATGTGAGAGCTGCATAACTTCACCCTGGATGTGAGATAGATGTTTGTTGCTATGATGCAGAAAGGCGTGAACCAAGAGAAAAATGACAACATAATGACTCTGTTCTTGGACATGACAGCGTGGTACTTCAGTGGTCGACATATAGCCACATACCTGTCGAAGGCCATGAGTGCCAGAATGGACAGATCACTGCAGGCAAAAGAGTACATGACCAGGGCCTGAACAAGACATCCAGAATAAGAGATAACATGAACAGGAGAGAGCAGATCCCACAGAAATTTGGGGTAGAAACCTGTTGTCCCGTAAAGTCCATTCATGCAAAAAACACACAGCAGAATATACATGGGTTCATGGAGGCTGGTATCCAAGATGATGATCACAATGAGAGAAACATTGACCAGAAATATNCACATTCACACCTATGGACAATTTAGAATCACCAATTAACCTCAACATGTTATTGGATTTGTGGGAGGAAGCCGGAGAACCCAGAGAGAAGACGCAGAAAGATCCTGGTGCCCCCACTGGGACGCAAACCGGCGACCTTCTTGCTGCGAGGCACCAGCGTTACCAACTGCACCACCTTGCAGCCAAAACTGAATATCGACATCGATAATATCAGTTATCGGTGATATCAGAAATCTTAATATCAGATATCGGTATCGGCCAGAAATGTTAACATCGTTCATCACAACTATAAACCCTTGACATGGAGACAGGATAAGTCTGGCTCTGACAGGAAGTCACACTGTTGACTTTTCTTCAGCTCAGACAGGTGAGCAGGTGAGCTGTCGCACAGAGTCACAGTTCATCAGCTGCAGTTAAGTCATTTGTTGCACAGCAGCTGTTATCAGGTTGAGCCCTAAACTCCATCTCAGCTGTCTGGATTGCTTTATTATGTATCATACGTCACTTGGTTCAATGTGCAATCTCACATTTATGACAAATATTCCACGGCTGTCTCCGTCACTGCGGTAGGTACGTCTGATTGAAGCAGTGAGCAACATTAATGGTAAAGTGTCGGAATGACAGAATGCCGTCACTTTATCACACTGAGGGACAGATATTATATATATATTTATTTTTATTGATCCCGCCGAGGGGAAATTGTCTAAATTGTCTTTTCGCATATGCCAGCTTGTCAGAAAGGGATCAGAGTGGATTGCGGAGCCTGTCAAACGATGCCTTGCTCAAAGACCCAACAGTGGGAACTGACGCAATCAATGATTTAACGTTTTACATTTTTAATTAATTCAAAAGTTCAAAAGGGCTTTATTGTCACTTCAGTCACATACAGCTGTACAGCACACAGTGAAATGAGACAGCGTTTCCCAGATCCAGAGCTGAGGTGCTGCATGCACCAACAACAATGAACATTTAACAAGCCGTATGCAGAGCGACATGCGGAGACCCCGGATGACACGTTGTAAACACTGGACACACAGCGCAAACGTCAGACATGTAGTGCAAAGAATGCAGAGCAGAAAAAGATAAGATGAAATAAAACTATGGGAACAGGTAGTGCAAAAGTACAATTTGAACATGGACAATCCAACACAACATGGACAATAACAACACCATGGAGGTACTGTGTGTGTGTGTTTGTTTTGTTTGTGTGTTAGTCCAGTCCTTGAATGTTGTTCAGTCTTATGGCTTGAAGGATGAAGCTGTTGCACAATCAGGCCCGCATGCTTCTGAACCTCTTGCCAGACGGCACGAGTGTAAAGAGGTTGTGTGAAGGGTGTGTGAGGTCCTTCACAATGCTGGTGGCTTTTCGGGTGCAGCGTGTGGTGTAAATGTCCTTGATGGAGGAAAGAGACATGCCAATGATTTTGTTCTGCTGTTCTCACGACCCTCTGGAGGATCTTTCCGTCCGAGGCAGTTTCCAAACCAGGTAGTGATGCAATGATGCTCTCAATAGTCCCTCTGTAAAATATTGTCAGTATGGAGGGTTGGAGGTGGGCTTCTCTCAGCCTCTGCAAGAAGTAGCTGGGCTTTCTTTGCTATGGAGCTGGGGTTGAGGGACCAAGTGAGGGACTCCGCCAGGTGGACACCAAGGAATCTGGTGCTCTGAACGATCTCCACAGTGGAGCCATCGCTGGTCAGTGGAGCATGCTCCCCTTGTCCACTCCTGAAGTCCACAACCATCTCTTTAGTCTTGTCCACATTCAGAGACAGACTGATATCACATTGTAGAAATTTGTTTTTACTTTGACAAGAAAGAGTTTTTTATTTTGTGCATTCTTGTCAATAAAAAAGTCAAATTAAATTAACCACGCTTAAAAATTAAAAGGTAATGAAAAGTGAAAACATTCCAAGAGGGGTGATTTTTTTTGTTTGTTTTTTGTCACTGTAGTTTAGTTTGACTTGAGTGTTTCCATGTTCTGCAGCTTCAGACTTCTACTACACTGTTTCACAAAGGCAAATACTGTCCTGCATATACGTTACTATACAGTTTCCATACCTTTTATTTCCTTTCCAGCGAAAACCGTCAAATGCGCTGATTTTGAATGTTTGTGGTAAACTGAAGGACTAA